TAGGGCTCCGAAAGAAACTGTTGACACGTTTCTAACCCTAAAGGGGCAGTGTAAGAAACAGTATGTTACACTTGTAAACCGTTGGCGCTCATTAGTCAGACACATTGCAAATTTAAACTAAAATGAACAACCACAAAAACGTTCACTCGCTTGCCCTTTCCTGAAAGGCTAGATACCAGGGGAGGATAGCCCAGAAGAGCTTGGGTGTTCATTACCCTTGAGGGGTAGCCCAAAAACAAGCTTGTCGGCGAGATGGATCAACAAGCAATTGGCACGCAGCCGTAAGTAGATTGACTAGATCATCTTACAAGCAGTCTGGATGAGTTGTAAGGCCTATCATGTTGTCTTCAAGGTTATCTGGATCGTGCGAGTACTATTCAAGCGGGCAGGGAGTAGGCAACAGCGTATTTAGCTACCTTTTGTGTATATCAAGCCTACTCACGCAGTATTGACCTGCTTCTTTACCCTAGTCCGTGCTCCAGAGCGTTTTAATAGGAGCCAAAAACCCTTTCGCTTGCTAATTTTCTCATCTCGAGACATTTCAGGACTACTTTCTGACGTGGACAACGAACCATGTGTGGTTGAAGACCCAGATGGTTCGTGATTAAAACCAGGACGTAGAATTGCATATCTACTTCAAATTGCTCATCGATTGGGTTGAATGATGCGGTGAATGCTGAAATTGCGTCCATAATAGCCTGTGAATGTTCAATCATCTCAAGCAATGGCCCCATCCCCTATACTGAATCGATTTGCCTGTGTTCCGCGAGCTATGGGCCCGCTCGAGTCAATAATCTAAAACTACCTGACACTATCTGTGATACTTGATGTTGTGATGACTAGGCGTAAGCTTAAGGAATCATAGGTGGATGCTAGGACAATCATATAGAGGGTGGGAACATATAGAGACGGGGAAGACTAAACAAAACGAGGACTAATTGTTATATAACAGGCTTGAACCTCTCATTCAAGGTAACTGGGGCTGTGGCGAGAAGTTTAGCAGTAATAGTGGCGAAGGTTAACTGGCAAAGTGCAGAAGTTCACCATGTATGCGTAAATATTTGTAATTGATTTAATTACGTGGAGCTTTCCAGCGCAACCGTAAGTTACTGTAAGTTACTGTTACTCTTGCCTGTTTCAAAGTGTGTGTGAGCTAACGGTAAGCGATTTCCGGACGGAGCCCTAGGTCCCTCCTACGGCCAAGTAGCCATGGTACTTCCTCCACGGGCTGCGTCCCACCCTTGCCCGCGTTTCAAGGAATGTAGCTCGTAGCGAATGATAAATGAACGCGGACCTTTGAAAAACGAAGATAATTGGAATTGTCCAACTCCCAATACCGATATCATGAGGACTCAGGGTGAGTCTCAATCATTCCTAAAACCGAATGAGCAAAATAGCAAAAGAGCAAAAGGTTTGAGCACGGCCGGGATCGAACCGACGAACTTTGGTTTGCGAATTCTGGATCGAAGACCAACGTGGTAACCACTCCACTACGCGCCCTTGAGATGTTATCTCACTTGCGCCGGTCATGTCCGCCAATTCAAAGAAGAACCTTGCAATGTATGCATAACACGTATTGTAGAACAGATCGCTGCTGGCCTATAGTGCACCTAAACGTGAAGACAGGTTAAGCCGTTGTAGAGATACGAGCCACACAAATCCGATGTTTTACTATAAGCTGTGCTGAAATTCTAGTGAAGGACCGGATTTGCGTGGCTCGTATCTCCACAACCGCTTGGCCGATCTTCACGCTTAAGTGCTCTTTAGGCTCGCAGCGATCTGCTCTACAACACAGATGATGCATACAGTGCAGAATTCTGCTCCTCAAATAGTCTCTTTTCTTGCCCCCTTTCTTCCCCCCTGTAGCCTGGCTCTCTAATGTTTTCATACGGACATGCGGCAAGACATCCTCGCCTCACGTGGGCGCGATTACCTCAGCCTATCATACTTGTTCTCGAACAAAACGGCCTTCCCTGTCCTCATGGCATATGTCAGGTCAACACGGCGATTCAGCGACACGCTGAGATAGCCCGCAGTCACCCTTCATCTGGTTTTCTTCCGTTTTTCTTTCTTTCTCTCTCTCTCTCTCGCGCGCTCTCTCTCTCTCCCGTCCTCGTATATTAGCCTAGAGTCATATAGTCACGCTGTGCCTTACGCATATATAGTAGTTAATTAGATAGCTGTTGGAAATACAGTATATGGGCTGGATATATGCGTTTTATTTGCGATGTATTTGATTATCCCGTTTCACGCCTTACATTTTTTGCGGATGCGAAGTTTTTCTTCCTTAGTTCACTACCACAGTAGTACGAGCTAAGGTATAGTTTTTCTCTTCGTTTTACCGTCTCTTTTGCTTATTGTACCATAGCTACATTGATTTCTAGGTACGGTTTAATATACAGTTCACTACCACAGTAGTACGAGCTAAGCTACATTGATTTCTAGCCCCTAAACTACGTGTATCGCAAAAATAGCAGACCCGAGCAAAGCTTCCTGTCTTCTTTACACTCTATCTCTCTCTCGTGTTCTCTTTTCCGTCTCGCATTATGTAATGTCGCACCATAGGGCTATGCCCCGAAACGACAATAAACACATGATCAAAAAAAAAAAGTTTTCATTTCTCTCATTTTTGGAGCGTAGTCGCCACAGCTGTTTGTATGTACAACACAAGAAACTTAAACCACTTTACGATACAGATTACCTCCACGGC